CCAGTGGCCATTACGATGGTACTAAAATCCGAAAAACGATGTCTTGTTAAATAGCTAACTGGGAGCGATAATGCCGTCGCGGTAACAATTTAAAACAACGATTAGCACTGAAATCAATTTCAACGCAGTTTTTTTTTTTATTTAACTGATACACATTTAACTAATTACGCTGTCAATCACTTCATTTCGGATATTTAATACGAGTGCAGCGACCCACTGGATTTACATCAGTCAAATGAAGGTGACACACATGTCCCACGAACAACATTACTCCGTTAGGAATTAATGGACACTCGGAGAATTCTAACGAAAACTGTGACGCCATGTTTGATAATAACGTTGGCCTCGGGACACACGGTTCTCGACGATCTCACGGCAACGGTCGAGGGAACAGCTGCCTAAACACAGTGTTGGGCCACGTAAGGCTACCGTACATAAACACACACGCAATAAAAACCTATTAATCGGGTTCGGATTCATTATAATGCGGACGTTCTTGTAGAGCAATGCGTACAGAGTGGACCAAACGGAAACGCACAATTTGCCCATAGGTGTAACTATGTAATACATTACACTCGATTTGACAACGCAGAACTTGTCTGCAATTATACCGTTCAACTTGGTCAGAGTTCTAAGTTTTCACCGACGTCGGGGTCAATTATTAAAAGGCAATGGAATTCAGTAAAAAGCGGGTTCGCGTAGTACTCACTCGAACGTTGTGATCATCGATTGCAATCGAAACATGTGTACAGAATTTCCGGTTCCTATGTCTGAATAAAACAAACTCGGTCGATATGCTCTTCGATACTTTCGTTTTAATTCCTATTTAAAACAACGTTAAGTATTTTCGTGTACGTAAAACGTCGGAGAAAAAAAAAATACCGAACGAGTTAACCAAGGGCGGGCCCGGCACCAGGCGTCAAATAAATCATACTGGTCAGATGGATAAATTATTATATTATAGTATTTGGTGGTCGCGTCCTGCGGCCATGACTCGTCCAGGTCAAACTCCAGCCCGTCTTGAACGGCGGCGTCGTAATAGTATTTTGTTTTTACTAAAATCGTATTATCACTGTGCCCTCGATTCGACTGCCCATCGTTCGAGCAAACCAATTGCTGGGTGGCATTGGGATTTTCACGATCCGACGTGATACCTGGAGGGGGAGCACATAACCTAAAAGTCATCGAGTACCGCACCGAGTTTACGGTAAACGGTTTCGGTTTTATTGGAATGAATCCGTAGGAAAATGTTGGATCCCAGTGGTGTCTACCAACAGCGATTACGACACACGCTCTGGTCCCGTTGAGGTAAATACGATTATGATGTAGACGACTCGCGAGGACTGAAACTGTTTTGGGAGCTCGGGGCGACGACGCCATTTATCCATTAAGTATACATACAACACTACTGTTTGTTAACGTGCATGTTGGATTTCGCGTTGCTAGCTTTTTCTTTTAGCGGCGTGTGTACGTACAATGTATAGAACGAACCGCGAGGCGAAAATGAATTACGATCCGGAATGCCGGAAAGCGACACGACGGCCGAGAAAGATTAATGTGCATCTCGGTGTTTACCATGTTCAACGGCGGCGGTTGGAAAAAGCGCCTTGTACATAAAGGGGTGGACGGTGAAGGTATATAGTTGTTGTAATAATTATTTTAACAGTGAACTCCATTAGCGTTGTCGACCTGCCGCCTTGCCGTCGCTGAGGATCTTTTTAGAATGTGCAGGCCAAGCGATGACGACGTTTATCATTTGCAAAAATATCCTCCTCCCCCTCGGCGGCCACCGACTCCCGGGCTCGACACGTAGCCAGGGTAAGCGTAAAAAGGCCGGCAATTAAGATTACCAATCTCGTACCTACGTCTTTAAGTTTTTTTCTAACAGGCCGACCATTATAATATATACGGGCTCGTTGTCGACTTATTAAAGGGCTATGGAGAAAAAAAGTGTACACATTAATAGGCATAGTGGAGCAATTCTTATCTGGAGACGGCGTGCGCGCTAGGGGTAAAAAAATATTGGGACCGAGAAGAGAAAAAATTAAATCGTTTAAAACGAGACTAAAAAAAAAAAACGAACTTCTTTTGTACACTCACTATGATTTACCGTACAGTGTTTTATCTGGCCGGCAATAAATCTACCAAACCGAGATCGAAGGAGGGGAGCTGTTAAAAAGTGCAAAGCAAACCCCCTTTTAAGGTAGTGGTTAACACGTACAATTCTCGTACATATGCAAGTGTATGATATTTTTTTGACTCGTACGCTCATATTTTCCAAACGCTCCTATCGCGCCTCCCATTTTTACCACGGCCCACAAAGAGTACTCATTATGTATACACACGAATCCATTACCGCGACGGCGATCCCATTGTAGTTTACGTGTACGACGGTTGTCTTATCGCAGTGTCGCCGAGCGTTTATTTAACGTTTTTTCGGCAATAACTTTTCAAACCCGACTCTAGAATACATTTATTCAACACATACATTTGTTGCTTGATAATTTTACCGAATAATACCGTTTTTGCGCTCACTTTATTTGACAATATATTAATTTGACGACAATAATTTAACTGTTTAGACGTTGAACGCATAGAGCATTATGCATTGTACATGAAAAATAAATTTTAAATCACTTTCGCTTTTAGTCAATATATTTTTATAAATATAAACGTCAAAAATAAAAATATACCGAGTAAATAAATCAAAATTGTCGATTTATATAAAATAAGAATACAATTTCAAAATCAAAAACATTTCAAAAATCGTAAATAGTTATAATTTTAGTTTAATTTCCCACCATTGAAAGCGTTTATTGTTTGCGATAATTTACAAGGTATTTTGTTCACCGATCAAAAAACTTTGAGCTCTAATGATAAATGTAATACAAGGAGATTTCTTCGCAACTGGCATAGTTCTAATATAATAACCTCACGTTTCACACCCCACCCACAAAAGGAAATTGTCCGAAGATTAAGAAAACTTAGAGGGTGTACGTCGCATTGGCCGACGATATAATGAATGTGCAATAATTGTTGGCCGTGTACGTGTATGTGTTCCATATAAATGTTTGTAAACGCGATCTGCCAGGACAATAAAATATATTTCGGTGCGGAGAAAAACTAGGCGGCGTGCACATAGTAAATTCATCGAGAATTTATAGACTGTAAGAAGAATTTCCTTTCCTTCGCTGCGGTTTCTTCGCGTTGTCGTCCGCACCATCCCACGCGGCGGCTCGCAAATAAATGCCCCAAACTATTTGGCGTAATCTGGGCACAATACTAGGGGTCCTAAAGTTTAGGTCCATACGCCATCACACTAGAGCTACACGCACCGACATCACGAGCGATTTTAAGAAATAAATCACAAACACCTCGACTCGTGAGTTCCGGCTGAGATTCCTCAGGAGGAATTCAAGCGATTATACTTTTTAGCAAAGTACGCGTCCGATACACCGTTTTTGTTCGGGTGTTTAGAGAAACTATTTTAATTTTTGTCTCGGTGTTATTTTTTTTTGTGCGCCAACATTAAAGTTTTCGTTGTTTCGCACAACGTTCACCACGTGTGATATATGAACGTACACGTATAATATATTGTTTCTCGTGTGCCACCACCGCAAAACGAACCAGAGAGAAATTAGAGTTGTACCGAAAATGGTCGGCGACGGTGGCTGGGGGGCGGATCGTATAGCAGTGCATCAAACCCACCCGAAGCCTCCAAAGACAGACTTTTAAGCCCGTACACCACACTCAGCCATAAGGCAATACTATTGTTTTTTCCTATTCGATTCTAATTGAGATATAAAATCGAAAGAACAGCGGGAGAGTAAAAGGTGTTCACCGATAATAAAACGATAATGGTAATATAATGTACCCTTGTCTCTCGCGCGCACAAATAATCCAGTGGAAATAAAATGTAAAGAAATTAATTTTTTTTTTTTTTCAGTTTAAAAACACGAGTTTTAATAGACTGTAAACCTTTTAGAGTAGCCTTTCCGTTCTAAAATACCATTGTATTTTTGACCTATTGTAACGTATGGCACTTGCTCGTGTGCCGTAGGCGGTAATGTTTCGTGAGCTCGTAGAGGCTATTTATGTATTCGCATTTAATTTGTCAGGCGTTCGCATTACAATTGTAACATAACCTTATCTATTTATAAATAATAGGCGTGTAATTAACGCGGGCCTAATGTTTCGGACGTTTAAAACAATATGCATGTTAAAACGCTGACTTTGTCGAAGAGAAAAACATTTCGCAAGCGACCCTAACCGTCACGGCGTTATGAGTGTTCACGAAAATAATAATAATATTATTGTTATTAATAATATTATTATTATTTTCCGGATGGTGATTGCAACGTCCTGGTCTCGTTAAATACGATTTTAAGAAACAATAATTGCGCTTAACCTACAAAGTACACGCAGACATGTTATGAGTAATTATTTTATGGTAATCGCCCATGGCCGAATACTTAATTAAACAGTCAACGCGAGAATTTCTCTTCGGAGTCCACTGACCGCGTCGTCGTTATTGACGTGTACACACTTGTTATTCGGTTGCCATACGATCGAGAGGGTTGTATCTGACGGTCGCACAAAAGCCGACCGTATACGGTCACCAAATACGGACCGTAAAAAAACGGATCGATAAAAAAATCATTATTTTGATCGTCGCCGACCGCAAGAAAAAATCACACGACAAAAAAACGTGTCGAAATATTTGTCGCTACCGGAATTTTCGGGCAAATTTTTTTTTTTTTGCCACTCCTCGGCAATGCAAAGACACGAGATTTCACGGCACTCAACGCTATATCGTCGACTGCTGTGTTTGGTTTACCTAGCTCGGCATAGGTTTGTCACCATTGTACACACACACGCGAGTCATAATACCTACACACCGTCGCACCGTACAGAATCGCACTTCCCGCGGGTATTGCAATTGTCAACTGCACAGGGTGTGAGTACGTGTGCGACGGGGTTGCGTCTCCGCAGGCACCGTCTCTGTGGAAACATGGCGGTGGCGGGTGCAAACCCATTGTACGCGGATAGGCGATACCTGAGGGTGTCGTCCTGGTCTAAGGCAAACAAAGGGCCGTGTACGTCGAAAAACGAGTTTCACCTTTTGCAACTTTCACTTTATTATTTATTGGCTTGTTTGATTCCGTACCGTTGACAGTAGTCGCCGTCCCTGCGTATCTCACGTACGGCAGTGTTCGTTGAACGCGCATTTCGTCCGGTACATCCGCACCAGAAACACCGTCAGCGCCGCAGAAACTTCTTTTTTCGGTAAGTCGCTTTACATAATTACCAATTTTCATAGGAAAACATTTTTGCTGCACATCAAGTTCCGGTACAAAGCGACCGACTGACGGCCATGTCTTGTAAAACAAGCGATAGTCAGACATGACTATGAGTACATAGTGTACATGGACGTATAAAAGGGGTTTCTTATATTGATTTAAACGGGTCTCCTGAGCATGCTAAATAACCGTACTCCTCCTACACTATCACTGCACTCTCTATCCCCACCACTAATACGATCATTCGTGTCCCTCAAAATGGGTAATCATTCTCTTTACCGACGAGCATCCGGCTACTAGCGAAAGTGTTCAAATAATTTAAAGGATTAAAAAAATTGCACATTTACTTATTTTTTAATTGCTAAAGAAATTAAATCGCATCTAGGTGCGATGAAAACATTTTTATCGTTAAAAATTCTTAAAATGATGACTTGTCAGATTTTAAATACTTCCGGCTCACCCGAACTCGAGATCGGGTTAATCATTTCATTGAAATACAAAAACAATCACTAGTTTTACCGAGTAGTCAATAATATGAACAATTTATTTAAACTCGGTTATCTCGTGAATTTTATTTCGATACTTGAGTTCTGCGAAAGGTTGTTTGATATTGTTAAAGCAACTATATCAATACATTAATTAACCTATGGGGTTATAATTTAGAAAATAATATTTTAATTGTGACGAATAAATTAAACATTTTTAGCAGAAAATAGTATTAAAATAAATTTATTAATTAAGCTTATGCCCAAAGGTCCATAAAAAATATTTTAATATAATTCTATTCTATACAATAATTTCCGACGAATAACTGTTAATCGTCTGTATGTTTGACCATAATTTTATTTTACTAGTGTTCATCAGATTTATAAAATCAAAATATGATATTGAAAAGGTAAATTTACTTTTAAAATCAATTAAAAGCGTTTATAAATTTAACTAGATAGGTACAAATATTTACGAGCTATAAATTCATAAAGTTATTTTACATAAATACTTTTAATTTAAATTAACATTATACTAATAAAATAAAAAATTTTGTAAATTTAGTGTAAACCCAACCCACAAAATTTGAGTTAGTATTTTTAATGGTATAACGATAATTATAAATTTATAGCAGCAAATAGCTTTAGGTACAGAAACTAAACTGATCATAACAAATTAAACACATATAAACTTATGTATATATAAAAATATGCTCATGTTAAATATTGGTTAACAAATATTTCATCTCAAGGTTTTTGACTAATTCACACAAGGGTTATGTAATAGAAGACATTCAGTTTCATAAAACATGTAATTTTATTTCAATAGTTTATTAATTTTACTATTAATTAAAATTAGCTGTTAGAATTAAAAACGCGATAAACGATTTGTAATTATTTTGAAAACCTTCAGTTAGGAAATCTGTAAAAGTTTCTTTAATTTTAAAAGCTTTGATTATTAAAATAATTATAGTCCGTTCTACCGAAATTAATGAAATAAGTCGTTATAAGTTTTAAACGGTAGAAGTAATCAAGACATGTTTAAATTAGTCTGCTATTTTCAACTATTTAATTAAAATTATTGTATTAAGTGTAGCGCATTAAGTATTGAAGTGCAAAATCATAACTTGGTCGCATTGGTACGTGTCAAAATAGTTATTGACCCGAAATCTCTTCTGGTTCTCATTCTGTTAGTAGTTTATAACACTTAAAACCGACGCACAACGTGTTTCACCTATTCAGTAGTTCTTATTATTCTCGATTTCTACGGGAAAACTTGTGTTGTTAAGGTTAACATTTATTCGCTCACTAAATGCCGTCCGGATGTTAGTGTAATGAATTACGAGATGAGTAGCCATCGCGTTATCGTAACTTTCCACACGTCGTACCAGAACGTTTATAAACGTTATTATTTCTGTGCAAAGTTACGTACAATGTAATACCGTTGTAATTATATATACATAACGCACGATAAGAGTGTTTGCGTAGCCAAAGGCTGGCCACCGGTCAGCGGCCTTTGTGTAGATTTAGTTTGTATTTCATTCCCGTCCGCGTCTGAACTTTGGTCGTGGATATTAATTCTTGTGTCCTCAACTCCGTTAATTATTCATTCTTAGCAACACACACACACACACACGAGTCGGCCAATATCGGAATTGTACATATTGGAAAATCCTGTTCCACCACACACATAAAACACGCACACCCTCGTCCCATACGTATATTGTAATTGGGGTCATTTCCTTCCTTCCTGTCCTTTAGTCACGCCGGACACACAAGCTCCGCGAAACTTTGTTCGGCGAAAATGTCCTCCGCGGCATAGGTGAGCGGTAGGCGGCACACGTGACACGTGGTACCGGCGGGTGTATGATACACGACCGGATTACGACATTTATTGTATAAAACAACAGCGATTGTACGAAACGGATGGCTCGCAAGTGTTGTTTTACATTTATAATCCATACGCGTGTTAAAATGCACACGGCAAAGTGCGCGGCGTGTGTAATCAAACGTGTATTGTTAAAATTGTTGCCGTTTTTGTCTAGTCAAAAATCTCAAATCAAATTTGAATCTGAAAATGGCGTTACGTCACGTAGAAAGTAAATACACAACGACTTTTTCCAGAAATATTATTTTCATGCACTGGAGTTCATTTTACAGTTATGTCCAATTTACGGGATAACAACTAGGTTTTTATTATGCGGCCTTACGATTAAATACGAAATCATTTCTCGTGCAGTAGAAACATTAAAAATGCTTCCTTCAAGAGTTAAAAGATAAAATAATAACTTGATAATTTGTTGATGCGAAATAACTAATGAATAGATGTAACGAGAAACAAGAGGAATGGTTAGTTCAAATACCAATTACAATCCTATTTAATCATGGTGCTCGTAAAAAATTGCTAATTGCCATGAATGATACAAAGTATTATGATTGTAAATTCCCAGTAATGCGTTGCATGCAAAATATTGTTTAACATAATCAGTAATTATGGACAAATAATAAGAATTTAATTAAAAATTCCTTTAAAAAATCAATGACCCTCTAAATAACTTGTCTTTTATTTACAATAAATGTTTAAAACAAGGTAAATAGACATTGTTTACAGAACTTATAAATAATGTAATTAATTCTTATGCGTTAAATATTATTTTTAGAACTTAGTACAGAGATAACTTCCATATTAGATTATTCTCATGGACACATTTGTTTCAATTTTTTATTATATAAATCAATTTTTACATCATAAATTATGTGATGAAATTTAATTTTAAATAATGAACTTGAAATGCTGGAAAACAGCATTATTATTTTATGCATTAGATTATCCGATCGAAAATATTCATGTGAAAATAATGTGGATACGCAAACAGTAAAACTTTTTCTTCGGGACACCATTCAGGCAAACTTTGATTTACAAGTCAGATGCGTTAACGTATTTCTCTAATTAATGTAAAAAATATTTACCACTTTGTCGAATTCAGATAACTATATTCTATAGAACATTCAAATTGAATCAACATAATATATTCTAGTAATGTGTTTACGCTTTAGCTATTTAGCCCATTATCAAACATAATTCATTCGATATTGTGTTTTTTAGAGGCATTATGTAAATTTAAGACTTTATTTTATACATTAAATAAAAATATACTTATTCTTAATTAATGCTTAATAATTTAATATTGAACCAATTGACACGTATCTATTCTCATTGATAAATGGTAATAATATTCAAGAAAGTATATTGACTTTATGATTAAGCTATTAAATGAGTATATAATTTTATACTTTTGTTTTTTTTTTAATGTAAACAACATCAATTAATGACTCGGTGAAAATATCCAAATATAATCATTTACTAACTTAAGACGATAGTTATTGTTTTGACATACATATATAAAATGTAAAATTTAAATAGCCATACACGTATAAACTTTACTATAATGTTTATGTTACCCTTGCTTTTGTTGTTAAATTTACTAGATGGATAATTACAGCGTTTTTTTAATATTCTGGTAGATAAGGATAAAAGTTATAAACGTGAATAATAAAGACAGAATAATGTAAAATATAAAATAATTATAACTAACCATGCGCTTGTTTTGTCGGTTACTACTTAAATTAACCTGTAGGCCTAATTGAAGGGCTCTATGTAAAAACAAAATAACTCCATTTTTCAACACTCTTTCAGGACGCTGATAAATCTATACATATTTGTATCCTTACCTACTCGAAAATTAAAAAAATGCTTTGCTTTTTATATTATAGTATTGTAACTATAATGTATAGTTACAATAACATTTATTGTAATTATTTTTGTCTTGGATTGAAGTATGTGTAATTTTAATAATAATTTAGAACAAATTTGAAATTGAAGAAATGAAGTTATTTTGTTTTTGCACAGAGCCCTTTAATTAGTCCTACAGATTAATTTAAGTAGTAACCGACAAAACAAGCGCATGGTTAGTTATAATGATTTTATATTTTACATTATTCTTAATATATTATTCACGTTTATAACCTTTAATTTTAAAAAGACTTGTGAAACTAAAATATTTAGCAGCATTCCACCTATTCTAATGGCAAATTATGTAATATTTGAATAATTTGCGTTTAATGCATTAAATGCATACAATTTGCATTTATAATGAGCTAATGTTACTCATATAGTAATAACTTAATTTTGTTTAAAAATTGATACTTGTATATATTTTTTACCGACAAAAAACGTATATTCAAATTTCTAGGCAGGCACTTCATATTCATGTAAATATTGTGTATCATAAACTCGTTATGAATAGTTAACCTATAAATGGTATTGTAACGTATTAAAACTATACAATTCGTGTAATAAATCTTCTTTGTCATCAATGAATTTGTACTCGCAGTTTATAATTGATATGTTTTTATATGGACACTAACTAAACAGTTATCATTAGGACAGATAGAGGCGGTCTGCGTGATCCTTATTATTACTTTAGATGTAATCCGTCTCGGCGGCAGAGTAACAAACGTACGAGGAGTTCATGTTCTCTCCGTCTATGTGTACGCTCTCGACATGAATATACTCTCATAATAATTTATACCTGATGGAAACATTGAAGTTCGATGATGTGCCGGAATGATTGTCTATTTAGCTGAGTTTTTACCCTATTAGCCCGTACACAACACGGGGGTTTGCCGATGCCGTGGTTATGGAAACGAATTTATGGCCGGGTTCCAAAAGAGGATTGCGGTACGAGTAGTGGAAAACTTGTGAAAGCAGCCCATATGTATATACCGCGTGCTATACATGTATATATATAATCAAGTATTAAGTACTTATGTGTGTGTGTGTGTGTGTCCATATACAGGGTGCAGGGGTGATCAATAAATCCTGCAATTGTGTGCGTGGGCAATCAATATAATATATTAGAGCAAACGACCTGTGCCACACGACGAATCGCCCGAAACAAGACGCCGGCCAAAGTGTTAGTTGAAAGTTAAAGGGTCGGCGTTTCAAATTTCGGGTTATCGATTAGATTTACATATTGACGGTCAACGACCGCCAAAAAAATGTACCTACGGAAAGCAAATTTTCTGACGGTAAATACTCTATACCGAACACATAGTCAAATTTAGTAGAAGTGACCGTTTATAATGAGTACACACTTGTGCGGAAACGAACTCTGCGGGATACCCCATTTGATTGCATCGTTTTCCGTTATCTTTCTATTTTTTAACCGGCAGCTAGAAAAAATTGGCAACGATTCACTATTTATGTTTTTTTAAAACACTAATTTCACATGATGTTATTTTTAGATTCCGAGAAAAAATTTCTTGAAATACAAACTTCAGATGAAGAATATTTCCGTCTGGCCTAGTTTTCATAGCTACGGAAATTCATATCTATGAACTGAATTCTTATAAAAAAAAAAGAACTGCAAATTTTGAAATTTGAAAATGAGACATAATACTTACAATTTTTAGAAATTTTAAAACGAGTGAAAAAAGAAACTGCCTTCTACACCACTGCTGTTGTAAGCATAATTTTTTTTTACAATTAGAAATGGCGATAAAAAAGTATTTGCATTTTTCTATTAATTTTGTTTATGACATTTGGCCGTTGGGTTTGTATAATTGTTAATATCAACCTTGACGTGCATTATTTTTTAGTTTGCGTTATGCAATTCAATCGTCATAGTTCTTATGGCAAACTAATTACTATTGCGGAAGGTTATAACTCTATTACCGTAGTATACTCCTACTAATCACGAATTCAACAGTCATTGAATCGCATGAAAGAGCGACGATAAGAACGGTGTGTATAGATAGAATAAAAAAAGCGTACAACGATGATATTAAAAATAAGTAGACGCCGTCGAATTAACAGCTAATAAAAGTCAAATCGACTACCGGATTTTTATTTTTACGGTTATGGCCGAATCCTACGCGGCAGCCAGCAGGTTTCCTTAAATTTATAGTTCACCACCTCCTCCGTTCCGCCGCACCGAGGTAGTAGTGGACCGACACTAGCGACATCTGTCGGACAGCAAATTTATTACTATTGGTATCCGAAACAAGATTAATGGCTTCGCAAATCGTCAAATTTGCGCCGGTGTTTAAATATTCGGCCCAATTCCCGCCAATATTAAAACCAAACTCTTTTAAATTGAAATAAATACGGATAAAGTGTGTCATAAATTATCTTATAGCCTGACCTTGGTGGTCGTCACAACCGTCACGGCCGATCGGCAATATAAAAAAAATTAATCGTGTATTTTGATGCTGTTTAAGGGTCGCTGAACCGGACAACGATTCACGGGAGGGGCGGAAAACATTACACCAATGGTCATAACCCGACTGCGGTCACCGCAAGTGCCCCGTCAACCAACATCCGGATAAGTGATCATATTGAAATTAGTTACAAGTTCACATGCGTCAAATACCTCTACTAGACGTCTCATTCATTGGGCTGGTCAGGTGAAACGATGTAAATTTGGTTTGAACTCATTTCGACGGCAAGGTCAGATAAGAACTGCGTATGAATTATTATTTTCGTACCGAGTCTGAGCAGTCTTAACGTGCGTGTAACATGTTATTAAATAATAGCGAAGAATCGTATTTATTCGATTTGAAATTAAAACAATTATGAATTTCGTTTTTATTACGACCAGTTCTATTTGAACTACTATTCATTATGAATTGAACCAACCGACCGGCTTGATTCAAACGCACTTATTCGAGTGCAAAAAAGTCGAACCGCCGTAGCTTATCCTAAAACGCATTTTCCCAAGCTTCGACTTTGCCGCACAAACTTGAATATTATATTTAATTTTGCAATAATAAATTTTACAAAGAACCATGCAAATACTTAGCTTATCTTTTTTTTTTTTTTTTTACAAGATTTATGCGTTTTTTTCCTAGGGCGCCTATGCTACACACGCACTACAGACGAACCACCGCATAAATTATTAGCCAATCATATAATACATCATACGTGCTCTCGACGTTAAAATGAAAATAATAACTTGTAATTAAGGCGTTTACTCGATTATTATCAATAAATTTAATCATTCTCTAAACGAGTATATATCATTTTTTGGTCCGAATGATTTATGTTCATTTGAGAACACAGTTCTGTGTTATACAAAGATGAAAACCGAGTATATTTAAATTCAGCAACAGACTCGTAAACAAAATTTAATTAATTAAACGCGGCATACAATTGTTGAATCCGAAATTATAACCACATTTATTTCATCTAAGTAATCAAACAGACATATAAAAATTGACATGTTTAAAAATTATTCAAAATTTTTATCAATAATTAAAGCTGAGCAAGTTAACAATTTTAATAAAAATATATATTATATATTTTTTTATTAAATCAAGTTAACAGGTCTCAGTCATTGGACCCCACCGTCTCGTGATCGATTCTCATGCAAAACTTGTTGCATCGTTTTTTACAAACTGCTCTTTAAAAACAAAATCAGTAATGAGATATAATTGTCGTACTATATTTTAATACAGTGTAATGAAAGCTATAAAAAATGTTAATAATTAAATTGACAAGTTGAGTAAATGCAATAAGTAGTTAGTTTGCAAATATATGAATTTTATATCAAATTTTATGAAAAATAAATCAAAATTTTTGGAGACATTAACCTTTATTGTGCACTTGAAATAAATTAGATTTAATAGGTAGTACGACTTCCCCGTTTATCGTGTACCATATGACTACTCTAAATTTCGGACTAGTTGATTATCAATAGCATTTTTATTAAGCAACAGGAAACCGTAAAATGGATGTCGCATATAATTTGTTGAAATTATTAAACGTAAGAACCAAATTTTTTTCAAATTAATTTTTATAAAAATAATTTTTAAATGGTATTTAGAGTTTTATTTTAGAAAGCTATTTGACTAAAATTACCCAAAAATATGTTAATTAATTGTTAAATGAATAAAATATAAATTAAGTCAGCGTAAAATCTAAATATTTCTGTTAAGCTAAAAAGTTAACCTTAACTTAACTTAAATTTCTTAACTCGTTTATTCCTAGTCTTATTAATAATTAAAATGATTTACAATCAATGATTCCAATTAGGAACAGGGTAAGAGGATATTACCTTTCTATATAATATGCAAAAAAAAATGGTTTTTTTTCTTCAAATAATGTTTTACATTAATTTTTTGGTCTAAAATAAAATTTCATAATAAATATCTACGTACTTCATATAATATTACTGTATTATGAATGATACTAGTCGGTGTTCAAGAAATCATTATAATGAATTAAAAAGACACGTTTATTAAATCTGTTATTACATACACTATTGTTGAGTCCTTTAATAAACGTGATAAAAATTTTAAATGTCATTGATTTGTAATTAAAATATATGTTATTTAATGACAAACATTACAGAAACTTTTTATTCTAAAATATTTGTTTTTTATTCCTAAAGTATACTTAGAAATAAAAATTTGATGGCTAAAAAAAGTTTTGCCCCCTCTGGATTCATCAGATGAGTGGCCAAACCATGTTTGTACCAATTGTTATTATTTTTAACACACAAAAAATACTATATTTTAATTTTAAGATAGAAAATTATAAACATTTTGATTTTACCGTTCATTCTTTATCAATCAACTTTTGATACACGTATACAGAGTGATTAATTTATCATTAACCGCTGAAATTTATCTAAAATAATAATTTTTTATATATTTTGTTTAGTATTATTTATTTCCCGATTAATTAATTATCAAGTACGTTTTTGGTCATTCCATATACCTTATAAAAGTGTCAACATACAAATTTTAATAGATTACATGTTAGAAAATGTTCTAACTAAGAAAATGATTGGTCAGTAACAATTTTAAATTTTATTAAGTTGTAATAAAAATTTTAGCTATAAAGTACTCGGTAATTGATAAATAATACTAAAAAAAAAAATTTCAAAATAAGTTATTTTAGAAGATATCTATGGGTCAACAATAAATTAATTATCCTGTCGATTTCTATGTAGTAAAAGAGTCACTAGGCGATTGTTAGAAAAATAACAAATATTAAACTCGACAGAAAATCAAGTTTGATAATTTATGACTAATTAGCCGGACATTATTTTTTCACTTCACCATTAATGAAACATAAAAAGTCATAGTTGTAATCTATTCTCGCATCATTACTAAGTTTTTTATCGGTCTAATAATTAGTTTCTTTAATGAAAATAGTTTAAACTGTGACATTTACACACTTAAAAATAAGGGCATAGGCCAGTCAACGGTTAAATGTATTTTTGGATATTACGTAGTCACAGTTGTTATTCAGAAATCAGAAACAATAGTTTTGTTGATAATAACCTTACACAATATTAATGATGTTATAAGATACAATGTCATTGTAACATTAAAATTACAATTGTAAGTTAAAAAAGACGATAATTTTCAATTTTTCACTTAAGTTTAATTATTAAAAAAGGCAATTATGAAAAATATTACTTAATACAAAATAGTAGATTTAGAATTTTAAGTTTTATACTTTATTATTACAAACCGTGAAAATCGTAAAAATGAATATTTGAAGACTATGGCAGTCTTCAAATAACTAAATATGACATTTAGTTAATCGAAAAGATAGTTAAATCTTTATAATTAGCCACAGGTATGATTCCCCGACGGTGTATTTATCTAAGATAGTGAGCAATTGCTTAATCGGATATTTCACGGTTGCGGATGAATTAGGATAAAAAAAACCCATAGGAAAATGTACTCAAATCAATGACCTTTTAAACAACTGTCGTTGAGCGAATAAATGAAGTCATAACAGCTATTAGGGGACAAAACGAAAAGCCCCTCCGCGTTTAGTGTATAGGAACTGTACAATAACGTCAAAATGCCTTTATTTGTGTTTAATTTTCCTCGCTACACGTCTCGGCACGAGCATCACGTGTAATTTCATTTTAATATTATTCGTTTAAGGTGTTCCTAATTTTTAATATTTTGTTTCTGGACTTGGTATCTGTATTATTGTAATCACGTTAATGGAATATAATTGTACACGTATAAAAAAAATGCATATTATTCATTTAGAACAGCTTTTTAACTTTTCATGTTTTGTAATTTATTTGTTTAATTAATAGTTTATTTTTTTTTTTTTACTCTTACAGGACACTCGAAAAAATGGAATGAACTTAGCAAATGAAAGACTATGTAGAGCCATCGAAAACTGATACCATTATTTTAATTAATATAATATTAAATGAACATGATATTTTTTAGTTAAATGTTTTTTTTTTTTTTAATTATTATGTTTAATAAATAATTATTGTAAGCTGGAATGGTAATAAATGTACTGTGTTGTGCCCAATGATTTATATGTTTTGTAGATAATTATAAAATGCGTTACATAATTTGTTAATAGAAAGGTTTTTTCTCTGATAACACATTAAGAAAATTCGAGAATGTTGTTTAATATTTAATATATTATTTAATGCTTTAGTCCTACCATGTGCGTTTTTTAAATTATGTTAAATCGATTTTTTACAAATTCTGTATCAAAAAATACCTAATTACCAATCCAGCAATGAGTTATTATGAATAACAAAATCTTTTTTATTATTTGTTTAAAAATTTAATGAGCTCATTAAAAAAATCTATATACAAGCAGGAATCCAATGATTGAACTAATATTTATGTAAATAATAACTTATTTATAATAACCATTAAAATAAAATTAATTAATAAACCAGTATATTTAAAAAAATTATTTTACCCGCCTTTTGTATAGTTATATAGTTGTATAGTTCCCTTACTTAACGGTGTATACTGAAAACGAATACGAGACTTTTATTGTGAGATTTGGTAACAAAAATACATTTTTTATGGGCATTTTATTTATAAATTAATTATCATGAACTTATAAAAATTTTTCTTAATATTTCAAAAAACGATATGAGACAAACTATCGAATACCTAAGTTACTTCGTAAATTTAAATGCTAACTAAATGATTTGCTAGCGAGTAAGACTTATCAACTACGTTAAAAAAACTAAAATAATAAAATCATAAAAAAATCGTCTGTACCTATTGACTGACCTGCAATGGCCATCCAAGGGTAGAACGTGTGATTATTCTGTTGTTGATTGAGCTGAAGCGCCTGTTGCTGGTGGCCGTTGTTGTTGATACCGGCGCAACTGTTCCAGGAAGCCGACAATGATCCTACTGAGTTTCGAGCTGAATTAGGACTAGTGCCTGCACCACCGTCCAGGCCACTCACGCTGTTCCCAGAACCGTATCCAACACGGGATTCGGGGGTACATACGTTTGGTCTTAACAACGAACCGTTAGCTGCGGACACGGGATTTCCCGGCCACACTACGTCTTTAGGCGACGATGAATATCCATTTTGATGTGTTGCCGACGAATCACTTTTTACACAAGGTTCAGTTTTAGTATAGTTGAGTCCAGCCGAAGCGGCCGCCTGGTCCGATGCTCCGCCACCGCCGCCACCTCCACCACCGCTGCCGGTCCCGTAGAGTTTACAGGCGGCCGCGGCCACGGAAGCGTCGTAAGGGCTATCCTGTGGAGCTCTTGTCTGCGAAAGACCGTGGTGGTGATGATGCTGCGAAGACGCATAAGGTGACATTCCCAAGCCAATTGGAAACCTATAAGCAGCCGCCACCGTATTCTGGTCGTGGTGATGTCCAGCGGACGATTGATGGTGGTGGTGTCCACCGTAGAAACCGCTTTGTTCAAAATATGAATTCATATTTTTTTACTACTTTACTTCTGTCGACTAAAAATTTTTTTTACTCGATCGTAATTGAAAAATCTGTTTTCCAAGTATTTTTTTTATGATTAATTTCACATACAATTTTGTTGTATTAAATTGTAGCACTGCGATACATATTTGTTGAAAACGACAAATTATCTTCTACTTAGTGACTTCGGTAAGTGTAAACAGAAGACCGTTTAATAAGTCGTAAAAAAGGTCATCTCTCCGGCGTTTCCGGGACGGGTCGTAAAACGCGCGCGATTTTACGAGCGTAGTAAATGTGCGGCAAGACGACGACGTAGTAAAAACTAGTTGACGATGCGATAAAATAAATAAAAACCAAATAAAATATAAATTATACGACTTTATAATAGAAAATAAAAATATCGTAAACACGGCCAAAGTAAAGTTGACGAGTTAAGTTTAAGCGTCGTGGAGTTATCGTTACCGAATGAGATAATATTATTTTCATAAAGTGCTTATGACGACTTAACGACGGGACAATCAGATCGTCACTGGCACACACACACGAACGGACCATGTGACTCGGGCCCCGCGAGCGCTCGCGACTTCTTCCCTCCGTACCCCTCCTCTGAACCCCCCATTCACCCAAACGCCAAGCCGATGCGGTGGAGGTTACCGCGCGCGCACACGCCGCTGCCGCTGACTCGCGGGATCTCCCTTTTTCGTCGCCCGTTTGCTTTTATTGCGCCATTCCGGCCAGAAACGTGTTGTGAACGTCACCGAGCGCGTGTGGCCACCGCCGCCGCCGTGTTATGGCAATGGAACGCCAAGTTGGTGGGGATCGTGAGGCGCGCACGCGGAAGGACCCATTAAAACAGAATCGGCGATAACGCGGTGGCGGAAGGAGGGGCCCGGGCCAATAGCGGTTCAATTCGTCATGGCTCGCGTGCGTGCCGGTGGCGCCCCGACACACCGTTCTCTGTTTTGTGCAATCGTTCGCATGTACACCAACGGTACGTACATAGTAGTGTTATCTACCGGAGGAAATTATAACTAAAACTGAGACGGTAAACTCAGGATTTCGACATTTATTGTAAATACAATGGAACGTTTTTTTTTTTTTAACATGAATTTTAAAAAAGACTCAACTTGAATTTTTAACTCTAAAAATGAAATCCTTGCAATTAAGTACAATGTATTAATTCAGTGACTCATAACATTATACATCGTAACATATTGAAATGGTCTTCCTCAATACAATTTTATTGGAGCAATTTGAATTTTAAGTTTGATTTCAGTTTTAATGAGTTTATAAATCTAAACATTAAAAAGCCAAAGAAATGCATAAAATATTAATATGTCACAATCGAAAAAAGTTTTCTCTATAGATTTCAATGTTTAAAAAGATTATTTTTAACTTTTTTGTTACTATAGATACAAATCATAAATCTTAAATTAATTAAATAACTAATTTTTCTATTATCAAGGTAAAAGTAGCTTTTAACTTAAATGCCAAGCGAGGAAATATTGATTATAACATGATATGCGATTTTATTTTTTTTTTTTAACTATCAAAAAAACAGTCTTTTTCACATTTTGCTGGACTGATTTTGTTAATTTATGTTATTTTTTCTGCAGTTAAAAATATTTTAACTTTTTTAAAAAACACTGATCCAAATTATATTTTAATATAGTGTACTAGAAACAATAAACCTTGTTTTGGTATGCCTAAGTACAAGAAGAGTTTTAAAAAGGCATGACACGCATGTAAAAAAAAATTTCAATTTAATTTTAAAAATATTCCTGTACTTCTGACAATGTTTAACTATATCAAATTACTGCTTTAAATGTATTAATACACTTTTATTAAATTGTAATTACGATATAAAAAAATAATCTATCCCACGATTATTTCTTCATTAAGAAATTGGCCACCAAAGTAAAAAAAGCCTCTTTACAATGTTTATGATTTAACAATTTCAATTTCATATTAAAATTATATAAGAAAGTAATTAACGAAAGTGAGAAAACCAAACTCTTTTTCTATTTTTTTGTTTGAATAACAAATAACAAATCATTATTTAAAATTAAATTTATGGAATAAAAAATGTAATGCTTTCTTTAATTTTTTCCTGTATACCTTCATTATATGGATTAATACTTAATACTTGATAGATTTTAATTTGCTTTTGTCAATTATTTTAATTAATTCATTCATGTAGCATGTTTTATATAAAGTAATTTTGTAATATTAAGATAGTTTTTTGATAACATAAACTATTTTACCTTTAATAGCATTAAAATTGTACTTCGCCGAAACTTTGAATTGAAAATATCTCTTTTGTAACTAAAAAAAAAAAAAATAGAAAATTCTTTACACATTTTATGAATAGATCCATAGACATACAAGGTGATTCTTTCAATATTAGCCATTAAATTTGTCTTAAAATAATAATTTTATTGCGAATTTTTTTTGGTAGGGGAGAGGAGAATTGTTAATTACATTTGTTATTTCAATTATCTATTTTAAAATATTTTTTATGTTCATCTATTATGTCTTACAGGGATTTCAACCTAATTATTTTTAATTTCTTGTGTAGTAGAAAACGATCTCATTAAGAAAGTAACTAGTCGATAACAACTATTGTACTAATATTCAGAGGTTATTAATAATTTTCAGTAATAACTAGAGGTGAGGAGGAGTGGGGGGGTACTATTTTTATCACTAGAAATTTCTGGGCCTCACTCTTCCTCCCGCCTAGATATAAAAATGTTATTATTTTAAGAAAAAATGAGAAGCTAGCATTATAAGAATCACTCTGTATAATATTTGCTAAACTTATTAATTTTTTAAATTTATGTTCGTCATCTCTTACTTTAAATAAAAAATCGTACAACAGGTATCTAAGTGCGTTCTCACAGTACATTCCGGATTTACTATACTGCAATGTACACTTAAAATCATCGAAGTTTAGATTACAGGTAATTAAAACTCATTTAAAGAGATAGGGACAATTTTTGAGGAAACGTCGAAAAACTTCCAATTTTTGTTTGTTCCTTTTATTAACAACAAAAAAAGTTGAAAACATAAAATAAGTTACTAAAATTATTAAAAATTTTTACCTGTAAAATTTAGATTTTATAAATCATAAAGATTCTTATTGAACTTTCCTTCGCAAAATTTCTTTAAAAAGAAAAGAAATAATTATAAGTCTGCAATTAGTTTAATTTTGTTTTTTAGTATTAATAATAAAATCGTTTAAAATTGTTCTTTATCATAATTGGAAAACTTAAATTTGTTAATTAACAAAAAAATTTGTTCGTAGTATACCCTCAAGTTTTTATTTTTGATTTGCCATTAATTCTATGTTAACACAGGATTAAGGTTTATTTAATTTTAAAAAAATCATTAAAAATAGCTCATTTGATTAGCATTAATATAATTTGACGTATCGTGTATAAGTACGTTACAATATATCATTTAAAACAATTAATAAGTGTACGATAACACATAAAAATTATCAAATCCAATTGTTAAATAATTTTTTTATCTTCGGCATAAAATTTAATGGCACTTGGCACATTTATGGCGTGCGCACGCTTTTTATTACATTTATACTGGCGCACTTACATCTTATGTCTTTATTAAATACTATTATAACATTGTATAGGTCAGTGTTTGTTTTGTACAAAGGATATAGTCATAAAATTCATTCATAAATTGAAACGCGTGACCGAATGATTGAAGGCTAGTGTACCTACTCACAGTCAAAGCATATCGTGAACTACCGTTCAGTGTCGGATCATAACCAAAATTTTATTGGGTCGTAAAAATGAAATAAAAAGCGATCATAATAGTGGTAAATCCAGAAGAAGATGCCCTTTTTTATTTAACTGTTTAAGCCGAATCTTCTATGGCTACCCATGAGTTTGTGTAGTAATAGTGCGATAATCGGATGACCGTGTATATGTGAATCGTAAACAGTTCATAAACGTTACAGTAAATGACTAATAAAATTGTACGGTGGTTCCTGCGGCTAGTAATAGCACACTTAACATACCGCTCTACAGGTCATGTTAATAACCGTCAATACTTGATAATAATTTGATATTCATTAGATAAAAACATTTAATAGCCAGTAACTACACATTAATATGAATAGTAGTCTATTGTTTTATTGTGATTATACTCAACAGAAACTATATGGGTAGAGTAACAAAATACTACCATGTTTTCAGTAGCTGACAAAATTAATAATTATAACTTATAGAGAAACACCTTAGTATCTAACTTCATGGATTAAATCAAGTCGTAATTCTATTAAGGGTAAACTGATGATATCTAGCGATTAAGATGGAAACGCGTGGGAAGAGGTCGTGAGCGCCATCTGTACGACCTACCTCGTCATTACGTGGACTACCGACCTGCCACTTACCCTTAACTGTTGAGAACTAAAGACTTATATTTCAAAGTGCTAAGGTAAGAAACAAACTAATAGTCAAAATTACTAACAGGAAATTTTGAAGAAATTCAATTCTAAAAAGTAACTGTAGTAAATTGAACAGAAAATGTATAACAAAACTAAATTCATTTAGTTAATTAACTAACAGAGAAAATTACAAAAAGAAAGGATCAAAAATAAAAACATGGCCTTACAAGTTGAAACTTTTTTCAATAAAAAAAAACAAGCAAAAAGACTTATGCAGATTTAAAATAAAATTATCGAAACAATATTTAAATAGAGTTACAAGGTTATATAAGGATAAAAATTCTAGACCAAGTAATATTTTTAAAAATATTTGAATACTAAATTTTATATGTAAAATGAACTCATTTATTTGAGCTATAAAAAAAAAACACAGCAATACAACTTTAATCTTAAGTTAAAATTTCAAAGACTATTTACACATATAGAGACATATATATAAAATCGTTGGCCTTTCTAAAAAAATCAAATGTATGCCAAAAAAATTATTTTTGTAAAAATAGTTATAAAATGACCTAGTAACGCTAACGTCGTAAGAACATTTTATATGTATTATTGCGTCATAAAAACGTATACTTTACAGATTAGGAAACATTTGTACGATAAACTTTTAAGAAGTTAATGAAAAACGAAGTAGCAAAAAATGAAGAATGGTTACTATTTAAAAAAAGATTATTGCCCTAACGGCGGCGTCAACTAAAAATGGACATTCAATGTCTTAATACATTATATATGTAAGACTTGAGCGCTAGAACTGTAACAGAGAGCTATTGCGCGAGCCGATGGAGAATGGCTCATGTCGAACCATTGAGCTCGTGCAATCGATACTCGGGACGAGCAATAGACACCCGTAGAGTGTCGTTGTTCGTCGATGGAAGGGTACACTTGGAGGGGTTCGGAGGAGGCAAAGTGGCAGTAACCGGTAGGCGGTGGGAACGACAAACGACGGCATTCGTCGCATTATTTTTTTTTCGCTCTCTTCCACATCGACTCACTGCCGTCCCAAAGTGAATACATACGCGTAGTAGTCGCATCTTTTTCTAACTCACAACGTACGGCAGTCTTTTAGTATGGCGACAATGTTGTTTTTACGGCCGTTGTAGGCGATTGAACTAAATATTACCGCACACGTTTTGTTTTTACTGTCTGAGTATTTGATATTATTTTTTATCATAAAATTTGGGTTATTATTTTTTCAATGAAATTAAAGTTTCAATTAAAAAATTGAATTATACCGCTCTTTTATTAAGAATGAGTAACAATATGGCAAACTATTCTGATATTTAACCATGTACATTACTATTTAACCGTCATGTACTAGTTTAAGACTCAAGAAGTCAAATTTTTCAGTTAAAATTATATTATTTAAATTAGATATTGACAAAAACATGTTATATTTCACTTAGATTTAATTTGGATGTTTTGAT